ATTGCTGTTTATCAATAAAACTTTGAAAAAAAAAAAGATGTAAAGCTACAGCCTGGTGTGGTGGCACACACCTGTAATCCCAGTTCTTGGCAGGCTGAGGCAGGAGGAGCTTTGTGAGTTTGAGACCAGCCTGGGCTACAAAGTGAGCTCAAGGCCAGCCTGAACTGCAGAGTGAGACCCTGTCTCAAAAAGACCAAAAAAAGGTAAAAATACACATTTCGCTATGGAATTTTTGGAAATTTCCCTCCTTCTTATTAGCTCCACGATCGCTTTAGTGTCTTCTTCAGCCAGCCAGCCACCCTCCACCAATACTGTCTGACTGCTTTAACCACTCTCCTCTCCAGCCTCAACTCCCCGATCTTCCTCTACACTCCCTTTCCTCCATGCAAGGTACGCTTGGAGAGTTTCCATTTTATTTTCTCCTTTGATTTCATTGTTGTTGTTGTAATACTGAAATCCTGGCCACCATCTCTGGAAAGAGAATGGTAATCCTTCCTGACAAGAAGGATCAGGCCTCTACTCACATAAAACACGGAGCTGAGCCACAGCCGTTCTGACCAGTCGTTGGCCCCGCACTTCCAAGGAGGCCTCGCAGGAGAAATTGCGGCCATCATCCTCCGCCGTGGCGCTGAACAGGAGCCGGGCAGGCTCCCCAGGGGCAGGGCGCTCGGGGGCTCCCTGCAGCCGAAGAGTAGGGCTGGGAGACGTCAGAGTATGCCCCGAGCAGGTTACGTTCACCTCCGTCCCTGCCAGAGCATATGATTCTTCTATCTCTACGATGGGTGGCGGGAAACCTATTTTTAAAAAAGGAAAGAAAACCAAACACATCGGGCAGGCAGACCAAGAGAAGAGCCTCTGGGGAAAGCCACTGCTGCTCCTGCAGAGCCCGCGGAGTGGAAGCCTCTGTTTGCACAGACCCGGCAGGCGCGCCTGCGCTGAGCCTCCCCAGCGGCTGTCCCGAGAGTGAGAGCCTTCCTCCTCGCACCTTGCAGCTGCGCTGGAGCAAGACTCGAGCATGCACAGGCAGCTTCAAGCACACAGGGCGCAGGGCGCAGCGTGCATGCGCCTGGCAGGGTCACCAGCCCGCCCCAGTAGGCGCGCAGGGGCGGAGCGCTTACTGTACACATGCACCGGCTGCCTCGCTTTCTGTGCCACTGGACCCAGGGAAGCCACGCACGACAGCTGCTGCTCGCCAGGCTCCGTGGCCCGAACGGTGGCGTTGGCCCACACTGTGTCCCCCGCCCAGGTGAGGAAGGGGCTCAGCTCTTGGTCTCCCAGGAACATGCGGAACACAACTTCGTTGGCCGGAAACACCCTCTCCACCTCACAGCTCACAGCCGCTGCCGTCCCAACTTCCAGAACGGAAGGGACCCAAATCAGGGGACTCTGAAAGAATTCTGCCAAGAAATTAGGAAAAGGAAAATAAAAAGAAAGGAGAAAAGCTGTAATAAATCGTGTCATGGAGGGATGGAACAGTATTAAAAGCTTTTTCTCTCTCATGAAGAATTAAAACAGAACTGAGCTCCCATTACCCTCACAGGCTCACCCTAAACCCCAGCGGAACTTGGGTTTATTGCCAAAGGTCATGGCAAAATAAATAAAATGAGCCCCAGGATGCCTTCCACACCTGGACCCTTCACTCACCAAAGATCCGCAGAACCTTGGGGGCTGAGCTGCTGCGGAAGAGCCCTCCACCTCGGGAGTGCAAATCAAGTTCTGCGCAGCAGGAGAAATTGCACCTGTCATTCTCCCGCCGGGCTGTGACACTGAGGGTGACCTCAGCTCTTTGCGAGGCCAAAGCTGAGCTCACAAAGCTCTTCCTGCATAGCTCTTGGCTACCCTGGAAAAGGGTGAGGGTGAGGTTCTCTAGGGGTGCCACCTGGGGCACAAGGCACTTCACCGTAAAGGCTTCGTCCGTGGCCACCCAGTCAGGCTGCAGCTCCAGGATCACCTGCTCTGGCGGCTCTTTAAGACAAAAAGGCAGGGTTTGGTGACAGAGGGCCGGCCCCCTTCTCCGGGAAGGAGGCTGCTACTCGGAAACCAACTTCTTGCTCATCAAAGGTGGTGAGAGCCAGTATCAGGAAATGCGACAGCTGAGGGGTTCCTTGGCCGTGACTCTTGCTGCCATTCTGGAGCGTTTCCTTTCCTGTCAGACCCGCTTTGGCCAGGCTCCCCAGCACTACACAAAAGCCCTTCCCGCCCGAGCCCTTTGCCCAGGCAGATGCCACCGATGCTCAAGAGCTACCACTCTGCCAAAGCTGGTTTCCCCCAAAAGATCCTCCTCGCCCGCCCAGCAGCTCCAAGCCTCTCCGTTCTGCAGAAGGCAGCTCCCAAGCCTGCTTTTTCATAGACTTGGCTCATTATCCCAGTTCAAAAGACTCCTTTCTCTGATCCCTATTTCTTCTACGACCTTGGAGCAAGTAAGTCAGCACTAGTTTTACACTGCTCTGACAACTTAGCGGCGAGCGTGGGCAGCATCGGCTTCCTGTATCTGAGGATATTCTCAAGCAGAGACGTGGAGATGCCCTCTGCACCCACTAACAAGGTAACTAACGCCCGGAAGGGAGCAGGAGTACCTGGCTCTAGAATCGGGACAGTGTGATAAAAGTCTTCAAGAGGAGCCCCAGTTCTCTCCCCTCAGAGCAATCCCGAATTCTTCACATCTTCCCGCCTTGCCCTCCTCCGGCCTCCCGGCCCTCCGCCCACTCACGGTACACGGTGATGTCCAGGCTTCTATCCTTTTGGATCCCTGAGCAAGAGAAGAAACACTGCAGGACAGAGCTCTCAGTGATGTCCTCCAGGAGGAACTCCTTCCACTGGCGCCCTTTGTCCACCTGGGTCTTCTTTAGGAAGGTCTCGATGCCACTGGGCCCTGGGTCCGGGCAGGTGGTGCTGCAGTTGACCACCAGCGACTGTCCAAAGCCCACCAGGGCCTGACTCGGCCAAGCGGAAACCTCAAATAGCTCCTCAGTGGCCCCTGAAAGGAACGCAGGGACCAGAGACTGGTGAGGACCACAGACCCAGACAAAGCACAGCATCCATAATACATAATTCTAGGCAGACTAGGGAGACTGCCCTCAATAAAAAGGTTCAGGAAACTGGACAAGAAAAGACCTTTAATAATTACATGAAGGGCTGGCCGGATAGCTCAGTGGACTAATGTGCCTGCTTACACAGAGCGCAGCTGCCAGGGTTCAAACTCCGGCATGCCGTGCCAGCCCGCCCCTGGGGCACACTGAGACAGTGATTGAGACTGGGCATGGTGGCACAGGCCTGTAATCCCAGAGCTTGGGGGGCTGAAAACAGAATCACTAAGAGTCTGATCTATGTGGTGAGACCCTGTAGACCCTGTACTAAATAGAAAACAAACCTCCCGTGAGAGCCCTGCTCTACCACTACTCCTTTTATCCATCTTGTCCCTTCAGATCTAGAATTCACTGTGGAAACAATGGGGTTGTTAAAATCCTGCTCAGAAAACTACTGTCTTCATGAGCTTTCAGAATTCTTGGAAACTCTTCAGGTTTATCTAGTGGGGACACTCATGGGATAGCAGAGCCCTGGGGGGCTTTCAAATTATAGTTAAGGACTGCTTTTCATGAGGTTCACCTACAATGTTCATAAAACTGCAGATTCTAACTCTGTTCCAGATTGAGCAGTTACAAATTTGTAAATATGGGGCCTGGACCTGCCAGAGAACAAAATAAACCTTCTGGGGACTTTTCCCTAGAAGGGACCTTTCCCCAGGACCCTTTGGGAATACAGCCTGTCTGGCCTTTGGAAACCCATTCCTGGCACCCAAGCTACAGGCCCTATTCTGGTAGCCACTGTGGGTCATTGCACCACAGAGTGAAAAATACTCCTGTGAAGAAAAAGACGAGACAGTTCTGGGACACTGGAAAGCCAGGGGAGAAGCACACTTGCTAAGGAGAGCTGTCTCTGGTGATTTATTTGGGTCGTCCCAATTACAAGCCAGAGACACCTGAGGGTGCTGTGTGCTGGTGAACCAATCAACAGAAGCCTCTCCCAGGGCCGGGGTGGGCGAGTACTCGCGTGCCCCCGCACCCAGGCGGTCCCATCCCCGCCCCGCCTGGCCTGCGGCCTGGACCTTCCAGCACACAGCACAGAACCCCTCCGAAGCAGCCTCACCTGGGCGAGCAAGGCAGGCCAGCAGGGCCCAGACACCAGACAGAAGCACGGCCATCCTTCCGAGAAAGGCCAAAAGCTGGAGAGAAAAGAAAAGCAACAGTCGTGCCAGGGGAAGCGAGGGGGCCAGGATGAAGAAACTCCTTTCCTTGGACTGCCAGCCCGGCCCCTCTCCCAACACCTGGCTAGGCTGGAGAAGCTGCGACAAGAACATGGGCAGGGCGGGCGGGGGGACTCATGGCGCTTCTGGCATCTTTTCGTCTAAGTTTGGCCTAGTGTGTAGGAAAAAGGCGGGGAAACGCGGAAAACAATGAAGGGATATTTGAGGAGTGAGATTCCTCCATCTACGACATGGAACCAACAGAAGGGTCAGCGTGGAAACATGAAAATGGGGACCAGGGATAAAGTTTGGCAGTGTTTACCTGACACTGTCCAGTGGAAAGTGGCCCCGAATCTAGAGAACATGTCACTAAAGTCGTGTTCTCTGACGTCTGGGAGAAGCATTTCATCAGGCCTCTTTCTCCAGGACCATGACAAATACCCCTCAGAACAATTCATTTCTTCTAATCTGCTCCAGCTTCGCCAGCCGAGACTCGGTTGCTACCTCAGCTGAGCTCAGCGTCTCTTCTCCCTCCCCGCAGCCGTCGCCGCGCTCCCTGTCAAAGCCCCATCAGAGCTGGCAAGAGCACTCGGGAGGCTGAGGCAGGCGCACCGCAAATTCAGGCCCAGCCTGTGCGACTCAGCGATCGCCTATCTTAAAATTAATAATTTTTAAAAAGGTCTGAGAAGGTAGTTCAGTGTGAAGACCCTGGATTCCATCCCCACTGTTAAGAAAAAGGGAAAGTAAACACTCATAGTTAACGTCCTCTAGGAAAATTTGCTTTTTTCTTGTGATGCAGCTAAGTAGTAAGCTTTTCTCCCTAATTTTGAATTTTCAACTTGATTTTTCAAACACTGAATTTTGGACAGCTCTACCCGACTTCTGTGCTAGTCTGGAAAAATTTTTGTCCTTTTTATACATGCATAAGATAATAGGCTTATCAAGATTTCTATGTGAATGTTACCTTTCAAAATAAGGGCTATGGGGGGCCTTGAGCTTATTTTGGAAGTTATTTAAAACTGGCTTTTAAGCTATCTAAGAAAGAAAATCATCTTTATAAAATTTTCTTTCTTTTTTATGGGGTGAGGTACTGGGGTATGAACCCAGGGCCTCACACATTAGGCAAGAGCTCTGTCGCTAAACTACATCCCCAGTTCTTTTTCTCTTCTCAATTTTTGAGACAGCGTCTCACTAGGTTGCCCAGACTGGATTTGAACCTGCAATTTTCCAGACTCAGCCTCTAATTAAATGGGATTGTAAGCCCTCGCCACTAGCCTCACTAAATTGCCCTATTACTCTCTGACAAAATGTTCTTATTCAGTCACCTTCTCTGCCAAGTTTAGTTCGGAGTTACATCCCTTTCCTGGGAAGGCCTGTTATTGCTGCAAATTTCTGAAGCACCTGGACACTGAAGGAAACTTCAAGACAAGAGTGTTAACTAATCGCTCTCGGGAACAGTACGAGGGCCCAAAGTGAGGCTACTTGTATTCATACATTCTTTCTGGAAATTTTTTTTTTTTTTTTGCAAACAATTGTTTTGTTTTTGTACTGGAACTTGAACTCACAACCTTGTACTTGCCAGGCAGACGCTTGTAGCTATATACCCAGCCTGCAAACAGCTATTGAGCAGCTACAACATGATAAACTTTTTGAAAGCTGTAGAAGATAGGTTTTTTTTTTTTCTTTTGCAGAACCAGGGATTGAACTCAAGCCCTTG